GACTCGCCGCGCGTGCTGCCCTCGCCCGTGCCTCCTCCCGCTTCGGCGCTCCCACCCACGCCCACCCTCGCCTCGGCCGCGTCGCCGACCTTGAACAGGAGCACCAGCGGCACTAGCGGCACAAGCTCGTTCGCCTCCCCAACCCTCCTGTCCAAAAGCATCCGCAAGACGCTCCGCCACCTCAGCGCAAGCCTCACCCCGCAAGAGCGCATCGAACTCGTCCATAAGATCAACGCCGACCTGCGTCCTCCGCACACCTCGACCGTCGTTCGTCCCTTTTCTCGCGCCCCGCGTTCCGCCACTCCTTTCTCTCAACCGCATCCCTCGGTCGCTGTCAAGATGACTTCGTCCGCCTCGCATGGCTCCGAAGACAAGCGCATCAGCTCCTCGTCCAGCTACGTCTCGAGCAGCGACGATGCAATCCCCATCCATCCGTCCGAGCTCAACAAGACTGCCGCCGCTGGCAATGTCTCCCTTTCGCCGAGCGCGGCGCTTGAGAGCCTGCGCGTGCTGGAGAACAGCTTTGAAAAGTCGGCGCCCAACTCGCCCATGGATGGAGCCTTTACCAAGGACTCGGATCACTCGCAGACCACCGTGGTCACTTCGCCCAAGGTCAAACCGGGCGCTGAAGCTGCTTCGCCCCCGACGCACAAGCGCAACAGCTCGTACCGCAAATCCGTGCCTACGCTCGACGAGCTCAACAGCGGCACCAAGCGCGCCGCGGGCGTGTCGAGCGATGGCAGCCGTCGAGGCTCGTCGATCGCCTCGTCCGAACGGGCGCCGAGCCCGACGAGCGCTACCACCGAGACGCCCAGCTGGATCTCGTCGCTCACCACGCTCGAGGCGATCCGGGTGCTGGCGTTCCAGCAGGCGGTGAACGAGCCTGCCAGCCCGTACGCTGCCACCGCGTCTGCGGCTGAGGCGGCCGCATCGCATGACGAGGTCATGGCGCTGCGCTACTCGCTCTCCTTCTCGCTCTCGCGCGCCGACAAGCTCGCAGAGTCGCTGCAACGCGCCAACGAGGACAAGCTCAAGCTCGAGACGGAGCTCGAGATCCTCCGCCGCAACGTGCTGTCCATGCTCGGTAGCAGGAACATGTTTTCCAGCCCCGTCGCCTCGCCTTCGCTGCCTGGGTACGAGAGCGCCGGTAGGTCGTTGGCACGCGATGACATTGTCGAGGAAGAGGCGGACCCATTTGAGCACGCTCAAGCGAGCAACGCGCCGCCTGCTGCTGCACAGGCCAAGATGGGTACGAGGGCTGCGGCGGCTGTGTCGCGACCTCCTCGCGCAGGTCGGGTGGCCAAGGCTGTGCAACCTGCTCCTTCCGCCCCAGCAGCCGCGGGTGCGGGAGTTAGCATTGCCAGTCTGCGCAAGAAGAACGCTGCCTTGGCTGCAACGGCGTCTAGTGCTGCGCAGCGCTACGAGCCGCCTTCGCGCACCACGGCCGACGATTACGAGACCGAAGACGAGGAGGACGAGTTCGACATGTATCCGTTCGGCGCACCCGTGCGCAAGAAGAACCTGCCCGAAGTGTCGATGACTGACTTCCTCAATGCGTCGCGCATGTCCAAGACCGAGATTGACCAGCACGATGCACGACGCGAGCTGGAGCGCGACGACCAATCGTCGTACCCTGCTTCCATCTCTTCGCATTCGCCGCTGTACGACTCGCGCGCAGACGCCAACCGACGCGGCTTCTTCAAGGGCATCACCAAACTCGTCGACGACAGGAGCAAGAGGCTCTCGAGAAGGACAAGTTTGGCATCCAAGCCCAGTGTTGGGTCTATTGGTGCACCGCTCATGGCAAGGACCGCTTCCGGATACGACATGAACAGGCGCGGAAATGGCTTGGCCATGCAGTACGAAGAGCAGAGCATCATCCCCAGTGCCAGAAGCACACGCAACAACATCTCGCTCGATAGCTCGTTGCGCGAAAGCATCGAGCGTCACTCTCTCCGCGACGCCGGCATCCTCGCCTAGTTCCCCCACCCACCCGGATTCTTACACATTCCTTGTACTTGCCTCGCGTGCACACAATCCACTCTCATTTCGACCTCTTCTCACTCTCCTGACTGGGATGGATGCACGCGCGTCGGGTCGGCTTTGAATCGAGTTTACAGCAGACACCTGGACGTGGTTTTGGGGATGACTAGGCCTGTTGGGCGAGGTAGTACTGCTCTGCCTGTTGGATGCAGCGGATGTTGGCGCCGAGCTTGTTGATGGTCTCGATGTACTCGTCGTACTCGACGCTGTCGTAGACGATTCCACCACCGGCCTGGAGATAGGCGTATCCGTCCTTGAACGTCATGGTTCGAATGGCGATGCAGACGTCCATTTCGTTGTCTGCAAAGTCGATCCTCCCCACCGCACCGGCATACACGCCGCGCTTCTCCTTCTCCAGCTCGCTCACCAGCTCGATCGCGCGGATCTTGGGCGCGCCCGACACCGTACCCGCAGGGAAAATGGATCGCAGCGCATCAAAGCGACTCTTACCGGCGCGAAGCTGGCCGGTAATGCGAGAGGTCAGATGCATGACGTGCGAAAACTTCTCAACGTTCATGAACGTCTCCACCTGCGTAGTCGAGGGATCGCATACGCGGTTGATGTCGTTACGCGCCAGATCCACCAGCATGACATGCTCGGCTTGGTCCTTGACCGAACCCGCCAGCTGCGCTGCAAGCTCCGCATCCTCTTCGTCGCTAGCCCCGCGCTTCACCGTACCCGCAATCGCGTGCACCGCCACCTTGCCCGCCTCGATCTTGCACAGCGTTTCCGGCGAGGCTCCCACCAGCTGGCAGTCGCCGCAGTCGACGTAGAACATGTAGGGCGACGGGTTGACCTGGCG